CACACACACACACACACACACACACACACACACACACACACACGGCAAGAGACTAGTAAATTCCCAGATACCCAACACTCAGCTTCAACAATCAACATTTTACCCCATCCTAGTCTCAGCGTATTAATTAAAAGGAAACATTGGTGGGATAGCTCCTTCTTTCTACTGGTCCAGCATTTAGTTGAAATATTTGAGTGTCTACTCTTTGCCAGGTACTAGAGATTCAGAGGTGATCAAAACAGAGAAGATGCCTCCCTTTCTAAGCCTTCAATTCAAGCACAAATGAGAACATAAATAGGTTGAAGGTGGTGTAAGTGGAGTGAAGGGGATAAACAGTATGAGGTGATGTAAACTGGGATGGGGAGGTTGCTGCTTAGGCACAGTGGTCAGGAAAGACCTCTCTGAGCAGGACACATTTAGGTTGAGACCTTGACAGCTGAGTAAGAGTCCGCCATGGGCCCAGCCAACTGGAGTGTGTCTAGATCCCACTTCTATAGTGCTCACTGCCATATAATTAAGTCAGTGGAGCTCACCTGTGTATGCAGTATTGCCTTAGGAGACTACTGCTAATACCATTTAGTGAGGGAGTGCATTCTAAATGGACAGGGTTGTTTTGCCATTCTGATCTTATCCCAGCAGTTGATCAACTAGGTGCAAAGAGAGTCAAGGAAGTGGGAAGGCACATCCAAGCAAAACACAGGACTCTGGTCTTGGAGGGTCCCTGAGACCCCAGTTCTTCCCTGCTCCTTTCTCTGATCAGGCTGTACCTGGAACCACCTGGGACTTGGGGATCCACAGTGCTCAGTGGAAAACCAGGGGATCGCAGTCTAGAGCTAGTCCACTTGTAATAATCTTAAGCAAGGTACTTAACCTGTAAGTTATTTGTGCAAGGGGGAGATAATACTTGGTCTATTCTCAGGTTTACTGCAAAGATGAAAGGAGAAGTTTGCTTTGGTGTTGGAGAGAGGCCGGTTGTTCATAAAGATTCCAGATACAATGTTACCCACCCATGTCCGGTGGTAAATCACTGGAATACCTTGGGTCAACAAGGAGAAGAGAGGACACCCTAGAGATTGCTACAAGTAATGTCTTAAAGTCTCTACCGGAAAGAGTGTTTTTAAGGTTAACCTGGTTTCCTCTCTACAAGTTTGGAAGTTTGAAATGGAGACCATTTGCTCACTACTGTCTAAACCAC